TCAAGCTAAAAAGAAATGATGTAAGAGGGAAACTAGGATCATTAGGAAAGAATGAAGAGCACTGTGTATAGTAAATAACTGAATCAATATAAAGTCTTTTTTCCCCCTCTCTTAACTTTGTTAATATATACCTGATTGTTCAAAGCAAAATTTTAATCTTGTCCTGAGGCTTTTATATTTTAAGTAAATATGATACATTTGGGAGCTCTGGGGGCATAGTGCCTAAGACATTTGACTGCTAACCAGAAGGGGGGTGGTTCAAACCCACCAGCCACTCCAGGGAAGGAAGGTTGGGCAATCTACTTCCATAGAGATACTGCCTCAGAAACCCAAGGAGGGGTCACTATGAGTCAGGTCTGACTGGATGGCACGTGGTTTGGTTTGGATTTAATGAAGACCAAATTTATTTTTAAGTAAATATGATACATTTGGGAGCTCTGGGGGCATAGTGCCTAAGTCATTTGACTGCTAACCAGAAGGGGGGCAGTTCAAACCCACCAGCCACTCCTCAGAAGGAAGGAGGGGCAATCTACTTCCATAGAGATACCACCTCAGAAACCCAAGAAGGGGTCACTATGAGTCAGGTCTGACTGGATGGCACGTAACACAACAACAACAACATGAACTAAACACTCCTATTAAAAGACAGTGATTTATCTGATAAAGAACAAAACCTAACTATATGCTGTCTACAAGAGATGCACTGAAATATAAAAACATAGGTTGAGGGTAAGTAAATGGACAGAAGAAGATACAGCATAAAAACATTAAGGGGTTAAGTGGATATATTAATATCAGATAAAACAGTTTCAGACAAAAGTATCAATAAGGATAAAAAAGAACATTTCCTAATGAGAAAAGAATTCATCAAGAAGTTGTAACAATCAGATATTTACATGCCTATTAACAGAACCACAAAGTACATACAGCAAAAATTGACAGAAATATAAAATTCAAAATAGTAATAGACTTTAACAAACTTCTGTCAACAATTAACAGAATAACCAGACAGATGATCAGCAAAGACAATGATAATGCTATTCATATCTAATTAATATTTACAGAATACTATACAATGGAAGCTCTGGTAGCA